ATCCAGGATAAACTGGAAGTCTTTTTTTGTGGGGGTGGTGCTTGGCATAGGGAAGCTAGGTACTTTCCGAAGTTATTAGTAAAATTCATTGAAAAGCATCTGCTGATGTGGTCTTTGTGATCTGTAGGGGTATTCTTTGAGAACACAATTTTTTATTTTTCGAAATTAATAGATTGTCCAGAAGCATTACAAAATTTGTTGATAGTGTCTATGATAGAGTTATAGCTTTTTTGGTTGGCTTCAGCTAGGAGAATAAGATCATCAGCGAAGAAAAGATGTGAGAGTTCCGGGCTTTTGGGGTTAATTTTGACTGGGGTCCATCTACAGCAGTCAATTTCGTGATCGATTAACCTAGAAAGCATTTCCATGCAGATGATAAAGATGTATGGGGATAGGGGGTCCCCTTGTCTAATACCCCTAGATGGTTCAAAGAAATCCGTTCTAGATCCATTAATAAGGATAGCTGTGGAGGTGGTAGAGATGCAGGACATTATGAGTTTAACAAGGTCCGGAGGGAAGTTCAGGGAGTTCAGGGAAAACCTAACGAAAGACCATTCGATTTTATCGAATGCTTTTTCCAAATCTATTTTAATCATCATTTTTGACTTTTTTCCTTTAGTATTCCTGAAGTGATGTAGGACCTCATTAATGATTAGTGCATTATCCGCAGCCCTTCTTCCTTTTATGAAGCTAGTCTGGGTAGGATGGATAAGGGTGGGCAGGAGTGTTTTAATGCGATTAGCGATAATCTTAGTGACGACTTTATAGGCCGTGTTACAAAGGCTTATAGGTCGAAATTGTCTGATGGTTTCAGCATTCTAGCCTTTTGGAATTAGGAAGACTAGTGTATTGTTCATGCTTTTAAGCATTTTTTTGGATGAGAAGGAATATTGGCAAAATTTTATGAGAAGTTTGCTTGTCTCCTTCCAATATTTTTGGTATAGAAATGGATGAAGCCCATCCGGCCCCGGAGCTTTGTAAGGTTGAAAAGAGTCTAGTGCCCTCCTAATTTCTTCTGTAGAGGGGATACTACTAAGGTATGGGTGATCCTGATCTCTGATTGTGGAATTATAGGAGAGGTGGGTATTATTGAGGAGGGATTGGTTATGACCCGTGGTATATAGACTTTTGTAGTAGTCAATAATATGGTCCTTGATGGGTTTTTGCTCTTGGATCCAATTTCCAGCTTCGTCTTTTAAACAAATAATTCTATTTTTCCTTCTTCTTTACATGGTGGTGATATGAAAAAATTTTGTGTTTGCATCACCATCCTGGATCCATTGAACCCTGGATTTAAGCTTCCGAAAATCCTCCTCTTGCCTGAGTACAATATTATACTCATGTAGGAGTTCGTTTTCCAGGCTTATTAGGAATTGACTGTGGGGGCAATTTTGAGAATTCTGGATTCCATTTAATCTAGCAAGTATTTTGCTTTTCCTTTTGAAAATATTATCAATAGTATTTTTATTCCATTCTATAGATTTTAAACTAAAATTTTCTATGGCTTTAGTGATATTTGGTTGGTCTGACCAAGAGTTTTCGACTATAGCTCTAAACGTGGGGTGTGACAGCCACGTAGTTTCTATTCTAAAGATATTATTGTTGGTAGAGAAGCTTTTAAAAAATTCTAGCTTGATTGGGCAATGGTCTGAATGGCTTCTAGTTATATGCTTGATATTTGCGTCTTGGTATAGTTCTAACCATTCTGTGTTTGCAATACATCTATCAAGCCTTTCCATAATTATGTTTTTACAATTTTTGCTCTTGTTAGTCCAAGTGAACCTTGACCCTTTGAACCCTAAGTCTACAAGGCCACNAATATGTGCTCCTAAAGTTTTGTCCATCCTAGGAGTTAAGATGTCTTGTACATTAATGGTGTTATGACTTGAGGTTTACATGTAGTGAGGTTGATTTGTACTAGGGATTTGTTGTATGAGTTTGGAGGCACGCATGGGCAGGTTGGATGGGGTTGTTTGTGGGCTACCTAGGTTTTGCATTAAAGAGGGTGATTGGCTTTTTGTAGGTATTTTAGGGTCTATTTCCATGGATTGTGTCTTATTTTTATCTATCGATGGTACAGTAGCTAGTACTAAGGGGCTATCATTATAAGCTTTTGTTTTGTGAGAGTTATTGCCCAAGGGGTTATGTGAGTTATGAGGAGAGTTAATGGTTTCCAGGTTAGTTGTGGCAAGATCCTTAGGGTAAAGGCCAGAGAAGGGATTTTCATTATGATGTTGATGTGTAGAGTCTTTAGGTACTATATTGTCTACTTTTTGGTTTTGGGCTGTAGGATATCGGCATGGGGTGATTAGTGTATCACCTACCGATTTTCTATTGTCCAGTGTGTTTTTGCTTTCCTCAAAGTTGGTGGAAAGCTTTTGGTCATTTCTAGTTTCAGACCTTTGCCATCTTTGGGTACTGGGGCTATGTTTTTGGGTAGTCAAAACCCTAGGGTGTTCTAGGTCGTTTCTGGTAGGGCTTTGGTTATTGGAGTTGTTTGTTTGTTTTTTATTTTTCTTTTGGTGGGAGACAATAGTCCATTGGTCAATCTTATGGGTGAGTGTTTCCACCATGTGAGACTTAGGCATAGTATTGGATGAGCTTGCTTCCTGTAGCTCTACTGGTTTATGCGTTTGGCGAGGGCAGCTGCTAACGTTGTGTCCAAGTCTGCCGCAATTTGTGCATAGGAGGTTAAATCCCTCGTAGGTAATTTGTTGTATGTGTTTGCCAATCACAATATAGGTTTTTAGGGGGTTTTCTATAGGTACTATTACACAAAGTCGAGCATACTTACCCCTTAGAGCGGATTTGGTGCATGCGTCAATACGTATTAGTTGTCCCAGCTTCTCTCCAATTTTTTTGAAGGATCTCATAGTCATAGAATTCAGTGGGTAGTTCCGGGAGTCTTTCCCATATGGCTGAGTAAGTTAATGCAGCTTTAGAAGCTGCGAATCTAGGCTCCCATTTTCTTACTGTGAGAAATTGGTTTCCTATGAACCATGGTCCTTCATGGAGGGCCTTGTTATAATTTTCCTCTTTGGTAAATTTTATTAAGTAGTAGTCGCATCCCAGGTCTACCAGGGATAGGTTTTCAGTTGGTTTTCATATTGCACGGATCTTTTTTTGGAGAAATTGGTAACCAATTCTCCTTCCAAACATTTTGATGATAAGAGCATTGGTCCAGTTCTTGTATATGCGCTCCTTGTCCGATGAGGTAATGGGGATGAAGAGCTCCGGGTTAGGATATTTATTAGTTTCATCCTCATGTTCGTAGGAGACCATGTTTTTTTGGACTGTGACTTGGCTTCCTTCAGGTTCCTTATTTGCATCATTACCCGCTACCAAGGTGTCCAGGAAGGTCATCCTCTTCGTAGTATTGGTTATGTCCTTTGTTCCAGTTCCAGGTTTATCCATGTGTGTTCCTTTACATATTTCCATGTCCATTGGGGTGGTTGTAGTGATGGGAAGGTCCGGCGTTGTCCCAGTGTTTTCCTGCTCGTTTAATACAGGTTGACTGGAGTTCTCGTTAGTTTGGTTATTTTTAAACATGTCATTTGCGCCCAGGGTCTTATTTTCGTTAGTGTTCATCTGGATAGAGATGAGTGAGGGAAGCAAAGGATGGGGTATTGGGAGTATTTAGAAGGAAGGAAGGGAGTAAGGAAGGAAACTTTTTTAGCTTCGTTGTTAAATGTGGTTATAAACTTATCATGTTTCCTATCTTAAGTTGCATTGGGACTTACTATTATTATGTTGGAATTTGACATAAGTTAAACTATTTTATTTTTTTGAAATTTTGAAATTGTGTTCTATTCATGGTTCCAATTTACTTGTTTTGTAGTATTGACTCACATTGCATGTTGTTCATTTTCTAGTTAGAATTGGTAGATTAGTTTTGTCAAACATTTGAATAATGTTATGACACTATATTTATAAATATTAATTTATTTTATCAAACATGAATTCCATGATGTTCTTACAAAACGTATATTTTATTTAGTTTTTGTAAGTATCTAAACTAAATATTATTAATTTAATATATATATATATATAAATAAAAATTATTTTAACAATATTAGTTATAAATACATAATTATTAATTAATGTATATTCACGAAAAAATATACATCTTAAATACCAAATATATTATCATTTATACTTATAAAATCTTATAGGTATATATTTATTATATTAATTTTTAGTTTTGATAATTATTTAATTTAAAATTTAATCTAACTGTGTAACTACACTTGTGCAACCAAACCGTAAACTTGTAATTACACTGTAATTACATTATGACAAACAAAATCGTAATTACACAACTGTGTAATTACTAGGCTCTGTAATTACACCAATTCCAATTACTTTCCAAACAGACTCTTAGTATTTTAATTAATTGTTTTGTAACTGAAATAGCTATAATGAGATGTACTAAATGATCAATTTCCAGTTATTAAAAAAATTAAATAAAAAGAATGAAGAGAGAAAAGCAAAAAAGGAAAAAAAAGAAAGATAAATAGAATTCTTGACCAAAGAGAAGTGCCAAGTTACATTCTCTCTCTATATATAGAGATAGATTTTAATGAATGTGCGGCTAAATATTTTTGGCTAATACTTCATTCTTTATTTTTATTTTCCCTTGTACAAGTTTATCTCCATTATATGCTTACGGCAAATAAAATAATAACTCATATTAAAGTGTGAAAATATAAATGACTTTTTTTATTTTATGTTTGCATTGATATTTCAACCTTTCTTGAAGCTACAAATAAAAAAAAGATTGTGAAGCTACAAATAATACAAATAAAAAAAAGATTGTGAAGCTACAAATAATACAAATAAAAAAAAGATTGTAAAGGAGAATGGCGTCGCCCGGACTCGAACCGGAGACCTTCAGTGTGTTAGACTGACGTGATAACCAACTACACCACGACACCATTTATTTCTTGAAACAAAATTTAGTCCCTTACCCTATAATGTCACACACCTATTGGTTGAGTGGAGATCGTTTCTCCCCAATCCTTAGCTCTAAAACCCTTTCCCCCAACTTCAAAACCCTTTAGCTCAGCTCAGTACTCGCTCGTCCAAATCTCAATTTTCATACAATTTGGTGTAGGGTTCATCAAAATGTCAAATCTCGATGTATCCCTAGACGATTTAATCAAAAGGAACAAAAGTTCCAGCAGTCGGAACCCTAGACCAAGAACATCCGGATCTGGATCCGGATCCGGAGGCCCCGGTCCAAGGCGTCACTTCCCTAACCGTGCCGCCAACCGTCCCGCTCCATATTCCTCCGGACCGGTCCGAATTATGTCTCCTTTATTGCCTCTTATGTTACTTCCATTTGTAATTTTCTTGTGAATTTAGGTTAAAATAGTTGAAATGATTTCCAACAGGTTCACGCACCAGAGAGTACATGGGACCACGACATGTTTGCAGAGCATGCCCCGGCGTATCCAGCTGCCCGTGGGACCGGTGGGATATCCGGGATTGAGACCGGTATCAAGCTCCTCATTTCAAACTTGGATTATGGGGTTTCAAATGAAGATATCAAGGTTATATTTCTTGCTTTACTATTTCTAGGGCCACTTAGTTTAAGTAAGAGTAGCTCATTAGTTGTGCAGTTGCTGTATAGTTGGCTAAACTCTTGCATTTACATTACCTCCCTATAATAAATAAACGGGCTATAACCCCACCCTGCAAATTACTAATCCTTTAAGGTTTCTGCACACCCCTTAAGAAAGATATTTAATAGCCTTACTAAGAACATTTGTGTAAACTACCCTTTATCTCTCGCTTAGTGCCTCAGTTAATTAGTGGTCCACCCCACTAACTGGAGCAATTAAGTAAAATTTGGAAGAAAGTAAAAGTTACTTCTTGTTTCTAAATGTCAATATTTTGAAACAAATTCAGTTCGCCAAAATGACTAATATTTGGAATTGGAGGGAGTACATCATTACTTCGGAGTTAATGTAATGATGTTAAATATGATGATTCAGTGACAAGAATAGTTTGCCCTTTGAGGAGAACATAATATAGCAACAACCAAATGCGATGCACTTGCACCAAGTTATCTAGTTAGCTTTCATTCATAGCAAAATCAGGGACCTTAAGTAAAAAAGCTATATAATTCACAAAAGGAGAAGCAAAAAAAAAAAAAAGAGAAGTACTATAAAATGTAATAAAGGATATACTCTTCTAATATATTATCGTCATCATCATTATTGGACATGCCACGAATTCCAACTTGTTTGGGATTGAGTTGCGATAATAGTAGTAGTAGTAGTAGTTGTTGTTGTTATAGTATAGAAGAAGGATTTATTTAACAAAAAAAAGTGGAAAAGTCATGCTAAGAAGGAAGAGCCATATTGTACTTTTATTTAAGTGACATAAGAAAAAAAAATTGAAAATAAAGTTTGTGGCAAAAACAACAAAATTCAAGGAAAGTTTTACATATGAATGTCTTATAAGAAGTGAAGAGTACAAAAAAATGACATTGTACTTGCTTTTGAAAGTGACATAAAGAAAGAAAAAAAAAGAACCTTGAAGCAAGTTTGTGATAAAGGAAACAAAGCCAAGAATGCTTTCACGTGTGAATATTTCTTGCAAAGAAAGAAAAGAATAGTACAAAAAGGTGACAATTGTACTTGCTCTTGAAAGTGACATAAAGAAAGGGAAAAAAGAACCTTAAAGCAAGTTAATGTAAAGGTAACAACACCCAAGAATTCTTCTGCGTGCTATCTCTGAAAGTGAATGCAAAATTCATTAAAAAAAGGCATGAAGAATGAGATGCAAAGCTTATAATATAATTAATTTCTTTTGCTCAAAGAAGAGAATCTATACCCACAAAGATGGAAAGCATGAATCAATGCAACACTTGAAAAAATAAAAGATGAGAAAAGAAAGCTGAAAGTTTGAGATGTAGTGATGTACTATGAATTATTGATGTGTTTGCCTCTTATATAAATGCTCAAGAAGACTCTCCTGGTATAATAGGAGTCTAGGATAGCTATCATCTGCTCTGCAAAATAGGATTTTTTGATATCTCTAAAAAAATAGGAGATGACAAAATAATCATTATCCGTACCAGGAAAGGATTGATTTAAATCATGAAATCTCCAATTAGGAGTAACTTCTGGAAGTAAAAGTTTTATTTACTTCGAAATCAAGAAGCTAACACAAGCATCCTCATTGTTGAAAAACAGTCCAGTTACATGGAAAAATAAAAATACCGAAGAATCTGACAAAAAGAAGTGTTGGAGATAAAGAAAGAGAAGAAAAGATGATAAGAAGTCAAAAGGTTGGTATCCTTGGTGAATTATGATGGGGGAAAAAAGAAGAACAAGGGGAGGAAATACCAATCTTTTTCTGGATGAAAACAAAAATCCTCAGTTGGAATGTGAATGGGTTGAATGACAACAGGAAGTGGGATATTATCAAATCATCAGTAAGAGATTGGAAGCCGGATATTCTTTGTTTGCAAGAAACAAAGATTGAAGATTGGAATGGAATTCTAGCAAGGCAATTTTGGGGCAACAGATGGGTTGAATGGGCAGAACTCAAAGCCAGTGGCACTAGGGGAGGGATAGTTACGATGTGGGACAAAAGACAGTGGAAATGCATTGAAATCCAACAGGGAACTCACTCTATATCAAGTATGCTTGAGAACACACAGGAGACTTTCAGATTTTGTTTCACAGGGGTGTATGGTCCACACTCAAACTGGGAAAGGGAAGAACTATGGCATGAATTGGGAGCTGTTAGAGGATTATGGGATGAACAATGGGTGATTGGAGGTGATTTCAACGTTTGTAGATTTGAAAGTGAAAGGCACAATTGTGCGAGAAGATCACGAGCCATGAGAGGATTCTCTGATGTCATCCAGGATCTATGCTTAGTAGATTTACCATTACAGGGAGCTTACTTCACCTGGTCTAGAGGGGAGGATAATATCCAAGCCTCAAGAATAGACAAGTTCCTTATATCATCTGAGTGGAATGATACCTTTCGAAAGATTAAGCAAATTGCTCTTCCTGAAGTTATATCAGATCACAACCCTATCATGCTGGAGAGTGGGGATTGGGACTCTAACCCATCCTACTTTAAATTTGAAAACATGTGGCTCACTACAGAAGGTTTCCTGGAAAAGATCAAGATATGGTGGCAGAGTTATGATGTCAATGGCACTCCTGACTTTATTTTGGTGCAAAAATTGAAGCTCCTGAAGAAAGACCTTACTATCTGGAATAGAGAAGAATTTGGCAACATTGCAGTGAAAAGGGGAAAAGCATTAGAGGAGCTTTCTCTCTTGCAACAACAAACAAACAGAAGGAAGAGCTCAATCGCAGGATGAAAAAGCCAATATTATGAAACTCCAAACGGAAATTCAGCAACTGGCTAGAGCAGAAGAAGTATCTTGGAGACAAAAATCTCGATGCTTGTGGCTCAAAGAAGGGGATAGAAACACCAAATTCTTTCATAAGGTGTCCAATTCCAACAGAAGAACTAATTGTATTGATAGACTCAAAGTGGGGGATGACATCACTGAAGATAAAGATCTAATTAGGGGTGAGATTCTAGAATTTTATCAACAGCTCTACACTGAGAATGAAGGCTGGAGACCTACTACAAGACTGGAAGATGTAGCAATATTAAATGGGGAAGAGAAAGTATGGCTAGAAAGGCCATTTGAAGAGGCAGAGGTTTTGGCTGTAATTAAGAATTGTGCACCTGATAAAGCTCCAGGTCCGGACGGATACACTATGGCATTCTATCAGAAAGCATGGGAGGTGATCAAGGATGATATCATGGGAGCCCTTCAGCACTTTCACCAGAATGGCAACCTAGTTAGATCATGCAATGCCACTTTTATAGCACTAATCCCGAAGAAGAAAGGAGCCACTGAGCTGAGAGATTACAGGACAAGCAGTTTGATTGGTAGTGTTTACAAAATTGCCTCCAAACTCTTAGCAGAAAGGTTAAAAGGGGTGATAGGAAAATTGGTGTCTAGTCATCAAAATGCTTTCATAAAAAATAGACAGATCACAGATGCAGCTCTTATAGCTAATGAGATATTGGATTGGAAGATGAAGTCTGGGCAACCTGGTCTACTTTTCAAACTTGACATAGAAAAGGCATTTGATCAACTTAATTGGACCTATCTGATAAATACACTAAGAAGGATGGGATTTGGTGAATGTTGGATTAGATGGATCAGATTTTGTATCACTACAGTGAAGTACTCAATCTTGATCAATGGTGGACCAGTTGGATTCTTTTCTCCTCAAAAAGGCGTCAGACAGGGAGATCCTCTATCTCCTTTCTTATTCATCCTTGCTATGGAAGGGCTTAGCAAAATGTTAGATAAAGCAAACCAGCTTCATTGGCTAGATAGTTTCAAGGTGGGAAGTGCGGATGGCAACTCTGTTACAGTCTCCCATCTGCTCTATGCAGATGATACTTTGATTTTTTGTGGAGCTGAAAAATCACAGGTCTTATACCTCAATCTTACACTTATGATCTTTGAAGCTATCTCAGGCCTACACATGAACATGTTGAAGAGCATCATCTACCCAGTCAATTCAGTTCCAAACTTGGAAGAGCTTGCGGAAGTAATGTGTTGTAAGGTCGGCTCTTTCCCTACAACATATATGGGTCTTCCTCTGGGAGCTAGATGCAAAGCTCTAGGTATCTGGAATGGAGTAATTGAAAAATTTGAAAAAAGAGTTAGCTTCCTGGAAAATGCAGTATCTTTCTCTGGGTGGTAGAATTACACTCATCAATAGTGTGTTGGATAGCATTCCTACCTACTTCTTGTCCCTGTTTCCAATACCAGCTAAGGTCCAGAGGAGACTTGATCAACTAAGGAGAGATTTTCTATGGGAAGGAAATAGTCAAACTCACAAATTCCATTTGGTTAAATGGCCAAGAGTTATTCTCCCCAAAGTGCATGGAGGGCTAGGAATAAAAGATCTCACTTTACACAACAAGAGTTTGTTAATGAAATGGCATTGGCGGTACAACATGGAGAACCCTGGGCTGTGGAAAGTTGTAATACAAGCAAAATATGGGGTGGCAAACAACTGGTGTACTAGACAGAGTAGATTGCCACATGGTTCTGGGCCATGGAAACACATTTCAAAGTTATGGGGTGACTTTCAACTCAAGTCATCACTCAAGCTTGGGAATGGAACTCATATCTCTTTCCGGAAAGATAGATGGTTAGGGTCAGAGATCCTGAAAGACGAACACCCAAGTCTATTTCTATTGGCTAGCAACAAGGATTCCACTATTGAGCACTATTGGCAAGATAACTCATGGGCCTTGCAGTTCAGAAGAGATATCCAAGACTTGGAACTAAATGACTTGCTGAGATTGCTTTCAAAACTATCAGATTTTAAGGCCAACCCTCAGGTGAAGGACAAGCTGGAATGGGGAGATTCAAAAGATAAAACCTATACTGTCAAAAGAGGATATGACAATCTATGCTCCAATAAAGAGCTGATTGACAAATGGCCGTGGAAGCTCATATGGAGAACCAAACTCCCTATAAAAGTAATTGGTTTTATCTGGACAAGCCTGCATGAAGCCTGCCTTACTCAAGACAACCTCAGTAGAAGAAGCATTCCGACAGTGAACAGATGTTTTATGTGCCAGGAGGAATCTGAGAGTGTGAGACATCTGTTTCTTCAATGCACGGTAGCAGCTGACATATGGAACATGTTTTTATCAGCTTTTGGACTTGCTTGGGTCATGCCTTGCAGTATCAAGGATGCTTACGAGAGCTGGTGCTCATGGAGAGTTGAGAAATCCATCAAAAAAACTTGGCAAATGGTGCCTGCTACAATTTTTTGGTGCATCTGGAATGAGAGAAATCGTAGTTGTTTTGATGGGATTTCAACTCCTAATCACTGTCTTAAAGCAACTTGTCTAGTCAATTTATTTACTTGGTTAAACCAGGCCCCTGTAACTAGCTTTGAATCTTTTTGGGATTGTGTATGCTCATTAGTTATGTAAGTTTTTGTATATGAGCAGCCACACTTTTGTTGTATATTTTTTGCTATGCATCTTCTTGATGCCATTTAATGAAATTATCTTACTTCATCAAAAAAAGAAGTGATATCATATCACTTTCCTATGTGAATTATATTTATCCATGGGTTGGACCATTAATTCTTTAAAAAAGAAAGAGAATTATATGGATCCAAATTAGTTATTCTCTAAACGAGCCCAGGCAAAAGCACACGTTCTGTTAGATGGGGATCAAACTTTATTAAATATAATCAACAGTCCTCCCTAGTCCCACAAGATCCAAGAGAACAATTGTCTCATGTGTCAATTGCTTCAAATGTATATATTGTCTTCGTTGTACTTCATGTCTAGTCGTAATTTTCGACAAGTCTTGATCTTGAAGCAGGGGACATTTGACATGTAAAATTTTATGGAATTAAAGTCCATATTAAATTTGGACAAGTTCCTAGATTCGAGAAATACCAGGTCCGAATTAAATTTAACGGAAAAGGTCCAAAAATGCCCTCAAACTATTAGAAATAGCTCAATTATACCCTCTATTTGCTTTTGGTACCAAAAATATCCTTGCACCATAAATGCCTCAGAACTAACAGATGGCCACATGTATATCATACGTGTAATAAAATACCTAACAACTCACTAACCCATATAATTTATCCATTAACCTAAATGGTAACCCGCGACCCGATCTTCTAATTAAAGGGGCAAAACGATTTTACGCCTCATTTCTCACTTACCCTTCTAAAGGTGTCTTAGAGAGGCGATTTCAGAGGAGGGTTTTCAGAGGAATAACAAGACAAATTGAAGATTATTTACCCCAGATCTTCCATACTCACCCCCTAGGCTCAGTTGGAAAGGTAAAGAAGCGGTCACTGGCAATCAGTTGGAAGTGGCAAGGCAGAAGAAGGTGGGGAAGTTGAAGTCTACGAAAGCCAATGGAAACTCTCAAATCTTAGACTACTATTTGTTGGGTAGTCGTAGGACTTCAACTTTGGTGCCAGAAAGTAATTTCCAACAACCAAATCTGATCAGTTTTTGCATAATTTAGTTGTTGGAATTTGAATTGTTAGTTTTTGTCCTTAGTGCTCTAGCAGGTCAAAACAATGACATATTTAATGTGTGCAGTTTGGTATTAGTTTGTGCAGTTTGGTTTGATTTTAGTTATTTGCAATTTCAAGCTGTAGTTTTGGTCTATTTTTGCTTCTGAAGTTGGTATAATTTTGTTTGATGCATTTTTGGTCGATTTTGCTGCTATTTTTGTCGAGTTTTGCTGCTCTTATGGTCCTGTTTTGGTCTAGTTTTATTGCAGTACTTTTGGATTGGTTTTGCTGTTGTTGTGGTCTATTTTTTGGTTAATTTTGCTGCTAAAATTAATCTAATCTTGATGTTGTTTTGCTGCATATTATAGTCCTATTTTGCTGCTGAAATTAGTCTAGTCTTGATGCAGTTTTTCAGCCTTTTTTGGTCCAGTTTTGCTGTTGAAATTAGTCTACTCTTGATGCAGCTTTGCTGTATTTTTTGGTTCAATTTTGCTGCTGTCTTGGCTCTTTATTAGTCCAGTTCTGCTGCAGATTTTGGGCTATGTTTGCTGCTATTTTGGTCATTTCTCGACAAGTTCTGCTGTATTATTTTGATATGATTTTACTGCTAGTTTCGTCCACTTTTTGTTCCATTATTACTATTGTCTTTTAGTCTATTTTTGCAGCTAATTTAGGTAAAACCTACAAAATATAAGATTAATCAATAAAAAATAATCATTTATTTTCGACTAAATAATTACTGTAATAATTAAGAAGGCCTTCAAAGAAACTAGGCAAATCTGAACCTAAACGTAGCAAAAGAAAGTGAATTCATTAAACCCACCAAAAAAGAAAATAAATTTAAGATTTACTTTTGGTAAAACGTTCACCGTGCATTAGCATCTGTCCGAGCAGTCGAAAATAAAGAAGGGTGTTTTGCCATGTTGGACTGCCATATCAACTTATTTATATTATTAAACATGTCCAAAAGGCTCATGTGGCCATCTGTTAATTCTGAGGCATTTATGATCCCAAAAAGTGACGGCAAGGATATTTTTGGTACCAAAAGCAAACGGAGGGTATAATTGAGCTATTTTCAATAGTTCGAGGGCATTTTTGGACCTTTTCCGTAAATTTAGTTATCTAAGTCCATCATGAATTTAAATTAAAGTCTAATTTTATTTGGGCCAATCCATTTAGTTGGACCGCAAAAGACGAGCCCATTTTACTAGCCCAAAGTCCAAATGGCTAGTCTTAAAGCCTAGGCTCATGCCACGTATCAAGTGATGTGGCAATCCAGGCCAAATTATTGAGCCACTGAAATCATGACGCATGTCAAGAAAGAGTGGCATACCCAGTCAAATCAACGACCAATAGAGTTGTGCCAAGTGTCTAGATGGTATTGGTCAGTTCAAACGGACCAATCAAATCGCAGAGCCACAGCACTCCATACAATTATAAATAGAGGCCTTCATAAAGCTAGAAGAGACCATAAGTGAGAACAAAAAGCAAGCAGAGAGCTCGTGGATCAAAGGTTGCTGATTTCTCTACAAGCTACAAGTTCAAGCACTAAAGCTACAAGTTCAATTTCAAGATCAAATTACTTGTTCGTGATCAAATCCAAAATCAAGTTCAAGAAGAAGATTCTAGGCCAAGCTTTACAAGCCTTTGAATCAAAATTAAAATCAAGCTCATCAAGATAGTTTATATTGTTGAATAATCAGAGGAATTCTATAGAGATTGTATAACTCATCATTTAAATGATATCAAATACTACATTTGTTATGCAATTTTCTAGTCTTGATTATTTTTGTTTTCTCGACACGAAGATTTGTTGTTACATACCCTATTCTTGATCTGTATAGTTTGGAGTAATTGATCTTTACTTCATGAAATTCTCGGGCCATAACTCCCCTTCCTAGAGGAAAGACCTATAAGAATGAAAGCTCGGAAATCTAATGCCTTCCTTGTTGTGTGTTCTCAGGAGCTTTTCTCAGAAGCTGGTGATATAAAGCGTTACTCAATTCATTATGACAAAAGTGGAAGATCAAAGGTATCTGCATATCTACTTTTTTGGGGGTAATTTGGCATAAATTAAGGTGCTTCCAGGAGTCTCCAAAAAACCCATAGTAACAAAAGATTCTTTCTTCTAGGGAACTGCGGAAGTAATCTTTTCACGTCGAAGGGATGCAGAGGCAGCTATCAAGAAATACAACAATGTTCAGCTAGATGGAAAGCCCATGAAAATTGAGTTTGCGGGACCAAACATTGGTGCTCCTGCTCTTCCTCCAATTAGAAATCGTCTGTACAGAAATCCAAATCCTGCTCCAAGAAGGTATTTTTTTCTGTTATACATGGATCCTTATACACTTTTCATCGAAAATTTATATGAGATTTCTGAGATTACATTCACACCTTAGACACAAGTTGTTGAGCTTAACTCAGCTTGTAACCAGTACAGCCAACATTTTGCTATAGAAAATATTTTAATTTACTACTTCCTCTGTCCCACTTTATGGGACACACTTTTCTGTCCCAGAAAGAATAACACCTATCTATATTTGAAAACATTTTAACTTTAAGCTTCCCATGTATCCTTAAGCGACATGGTTTTATACCCACAAAAATGTCTATGGCATGTTTTAACAACAGCTTTCAAAAGCCTTTCTTTCTTAAACTCCGTGCTCCGTCAAACATCTTCACATAAAATGGGACGGAGGGAGTACTTAGTATGCAAAGCAGAAGAGAGTCCGGAAAAACAAAAACGAATTGCTGTAGTTAAATGAGGGATGCAAATCTATTGGTATTGATGATTATAACTCCTTGTACTGTTACCTGTAGAATAAGAAGAAAAGGATCATTTGCATGAATTGACTCCTTAGGTTACTGTGTATGCTGGGTGCTATTTTCCCATTTGCAATGAGATTTTTCATTTTTACCGAGGAAGAAAAAGATTACTTGAAGTTTGCACAATTTCTTGGCAGTGGTCCCAGAAAACCCTAGCAATATAATATTGCAGACAATTAATGTTAGAATAGTCACTCTTTTCAGGATCCCTCGATGTTCTAATCTTGAATATCTGATTTTGTTTGTGCTACTTGTTGATTGGCATGGCATCATGGTGAAATCTCATAAGTTATATAAAAAAACCGAATCCTTCTTAAGATACACAAGGAAATTCTGACATATGCTTTTATCCTCTGTACCTCCTTTTTGTTTTTATGTATGTGATGTATTATCTGATAAACATTTGTGTACAATAAATGCATGTGTGGTTTTTGTATTTATTAGACATTACTTTCAACTGTCTATAGCATATTCTTTTTGATGTAATTACAGTTTCTTCTTTTCCTCCCTCATCTTAGACGCTTCTTGAAACTTCTTACAATTTTGGAAGTCTAAGAAGATTTAATTCCTTTTCAGACAAAAGTTGTTTCCTGAGATACAGGGACTGTATGGTCAAACAACGAGAAACAATTTTGACAGAGAAATATTTAGATACGTGTTGGCAAATTTCCATGCTTGCTATAGGTTGTAAAACAGCAGTCAAGCCTTATGCATCGTATGCGTTAAGAACATAGACCATGGGCCTAACTTGACCCCGAAAATTGTTCGTGAGGTGAGGATTGCCCAAGACTATACGGAGGAAACAACAAACTCATTCCCTCAATATGTGTGGACACATAACACTTTCCCCTATCAACGTGCCCAGGACTGGACATTTGGACCAGCCCTTTGGAGCTTGAACAACATAACATAGGGATCCAACATTGGATGGAGCAAGAATTCAGATTGGTTTGGCTCTGATTATGTTAAGAAAATAGATCTTGGCTTAACTCAACCCCAAGAGTTAGCTCATGAAGTGAGAACTGCCCGAGATCGTATAAGGACTTATGGAGACAATGACTCTCTCTTTTATCAATATGGGATAGTATGCGAAGATATTATCCAATGTAGCTACCAAATACCTGGGCTTAGAGTTAGTAAAATTCTTGGAAGTGCTTAGATTAGAGATATTGTATATAGGATAGTTGTAGTCTAATTATAGTTGTAAATATGTTGGCATTTCAATATTCTGCTTCTGATAATTGTGTCACTGTGGATGATTCGTTGTTTAAGAAAGTCCCCATCTATTTCTACAATCTTCCTTGCCTTCACCTTGGGGAGTTGGTTGTTGCAGGTTTTGACCGGAAGTTTTCATTGCTTCTGCTTCTCTAATGAGCGTACTAAAAATGTAATTTATGTTTTGGAAAGAAAGAGGGAAGGGTAAAGTCTTGTTGCACTCTTACTGTTTTTATGTAATTTGCTGTATTTGGTTTGGTCAAAAGTGAGATGCAAAAAATTCATTGTTTAGCATTATGCAAAGAAAGTTCGATGTGGCAGAAGCTGGCTCTCTTGTCAGTCATTATTTTAAAATGTTGGTATTTTCATGGCATGTGCCCATCTTTGAAGCTTCTTTTAGCTTGATAATAATGTTATTTTTGATCTTGTTCAGTTTTACTTGTTTTCTTATGTGGACATTGTATTCTTATCTTAACCAACATTTTGTTTCACTATATCTTGAAATAATTTAACAGTCAACAAAGAGGTGGTGGATTTAGACGTCCTCCTCGAGGTGGTAGAGGGAGCATGAGAAAGGAGGGTGGAAGGGGTAGAGGTCGCGGTGAGAACATTTCTGCAGAAGATCTTGATGCCGACTTGGAAAAGTATCACTCCGAAGCAATGGAGACGAACTGACATTCTGACATGCTTGACGAGATACTTGCCTTGTAACATGTGCAATCATCCACAGGATCGAAGGTTATACTTCTTATGAATTGGTACAAACAATTCCTGAAGAAGTGTGATGATAAAAGATTCTGGGGAAAAGACCGAAAGGCGTAGAACCTACGTGCTGCCAGCCGATCTTAAAACTTCTATGTTAAGAGTGTGTTTTGTACTATTGCCACATTTTCTTCAGCTTTAAGCATTTGATGATATAGAACTCTTGCCTTGTACGTGCTCTGTATTTTCCTGCCATTGCTTTGCCTTCTGTTTGTTTTTATGTAAACAAGAAATTGTTGAGAAATTCGTTGCTTTCAGAAACAGATGCTGGAAATGTTGTGAAATTATGGTTGGTGTGAAAATATGCATCCGCAGTTGCTGTAAGGGCATGTTTGGCATGAAAGAAAATAGTTTTTCGGAAAATGTTTTACGTAAGTCTGACTTCTGTTATACCAAGTGCCCCCTAAATCCATGAGGAACATCTCAAACCTAAGCAGTCAAAGCAGAAGAGTGACAAGCAGTGCAGTTTCCATCTCCTTGATCTCCAGTCTCCTACGTAAGACTCATCCTCACACATTCTATCTTATCAATAGAAATCTTTGATCTGTGGGAAATAAGGTCCTCCTAATCCCTTGTACTGGAGCATTCTCATAATTAGAAAGGTCAATGGAAACAATCTTCAAGATTCCCGTACATGGATTCTCCTGGAATTTCTACATAGAAATCAGTAAATGTGCCACCTTTTGTCTATAAAACACGCATTACCACTTGAGGTTTATCCACAAAGACCTATCATAGATTATAAGGAAATATGTTTCTCTTTGTATTGGTTCAGTTCTATTTGAATATTTGATTAGTCTAGTAAATTATTACATTCTTGAAATACAGCCTAGTGATAGATTAAGTGGGACTGGATGGCAATGGGGCGGGGCAGGTGCAGGGCGGGTTTGGCAAAACCCACAAAATTTTCAACCCGCCCCACCCCGCATAGTTTTTTTTTTTTTTTTTTCCTTCCAGTTTTCAATCCGCCCCACTAATTTTTTTTTCTTTTTTCTGTATTTTTTTTCCTAAAACAAACTAGTTTAACCGTGTGTGGAACGTCGTACTTTGTGCTATAAAATCCTTTTTTGAATTTGAGCAATTGCTAAATTTGCGCATGTGAATGGTGAGAAAAGAAAGTATACATTTTCTTTTTCCAGAATGAAAGTATACATGGGAGAGAGGGAAACTAGGCGATATATTCTCTACTTATAGTTGGCACTTATTTTGACACTCGTAATATTTCACTAAAGATACATAATTTTGAATTAGTTAAAGTACATATCATATACGTTTAACGCCTGGAATTTCGTCCATGAATTTTCAATATTTTGCTTTAGAAAATTTTCAAATCGGTGTTTGTTTAAGTTTTTTATAAGTTACTAGTATATTAGTTCTTTTTGCAAAAATTATGTTTTGTAGTTACGATTTGAGGATGTTTCTTTAAAAACAGTTCTAAAAATATAATTTTAAACAGTTCCAATTATAACTTTGTTCACTTGATTAAATTATCGTTTTGAAAATTTTCTTATTTTTTCTACGTTCTCATTAAAAGCTATCTATAAAGGTTTTCTGTATACCTATAGTAATGGAAACATTAGTGTAAGAATATGTGAAAAAGTTTCTTTAATATTCCTGCGGGTCAGTTCCGTGGCAAAAGAAAATCATACATTTGAATCCCAATATATCACTTTGGTGAGACTCATGTAAATTGGTTAATTATAAATCAAAACAGTATTCGTGCCAGTGAAAAAGAATGTGAAATTGAAATTGAAATGATTGCTTTGTTTCAAAATAGATAAAATTTAAAGTTGCCCCATATTGAACCCGCAACCCGCCCTTTAAAATTTTTAAATTGTTTTAACCCGCCCCGCACGTGCATAAGAGTCCTCATCCCGCATCCACCCCACCCCATTGCCGCCCCTTAAGTGGGAGGAGAAATATGAGATATTACGTGTGCTGGTGGAATGTAGTAATTATCATTAGAATAGTTGAGGTATCACAAGCTGGTTCAAACACATCTAAAAAAAAAGAATATACATGAAAGTCTGACATATTGGCCTAAAGTGCAAGTCTCCAGGATATTCAAAATTGGTTGAAGCGCAAAATCAATAGAAGACTATAGAAATACCAAAGATCACATGAAAAATAACATTGTATAGTCGCGATAAAAATAAGAATCGAAAAAATATATAAAGTTTATATATATATATATATATATATATATATACTATTTTGTATCTCATATATACAAATTTTATATATATTTTTGTTTATCAGATATAAATAACTTTTGATGAAGGCTAAAAATAATATACCCAAGATCACATGGGCCAAGAACTAAAGCTGATTGCGTTAGTCACGTTTACACTGTATCCAAACTTTCATTGGACCGAATAGCGGCCTACTAGTAAAGTCGGCTGATGGCAGATGGATATCTTGACAAACTAGATGTGCCTACTTTTCAAGGGAGAAATTTAAAAATAGTCAGATTTAAAAGTGTTCACTCAAAAATAACTACAGTTTAAAAAGTAATTATAATTTAATCACTTTTTATATAACGTATAAAGATAAATTTGAACGAAATACTGTTCAAAATCCAAAAAACTACTCCAGTATAATATACTGAAATTCCAGTATAATATACTGGAACTTCAGTATATTAACTAGAGTTCCAGTATAATATACTAGTCCAGCATAATATATTGGAGATTGGAGCACATATTATGCTGGAACTTTCAGCGTGTTGGAGTTCCAGCATAATATGCTGTAAGCTCATACACAAGTGCACCGATCTCTAGTATATCATGCTGAAATTTTTCGTATTAGTAGCTATTTTTTAATGACTTTGCAAACGCTGGCTATTTTTGAATAACCAGTTCGAAAACTGACTAGACCATGCTATTTTTACACTTTTCAATGAAAGGCTATTTCATTTTTTCTTCTCCCGAATGTTTTCAATATTTAGCCGACATCAATTATATATATATTTTTTTTATTATAATTCTCAAAATCTCCTCATTTTGTTCTTTGATAACTCAAAATCGCTACCTTAGAGTTAAAGGTAGAAGTCGTTAGTCACTCGAGCATCCTCTCTTATTACATTGTTAATCAAATCGAAAGACTAACACTCTCTTTGGATTATTGTTCCTTATCGTTTTATAATGTATTGTATTGTATTGTATCATATTGTATCGTATCGTTTTATGAATACAATATTTTGGATAGATTGTATTGTTTGTTACTGTTAAATAATATTTTGCTGTTTGGTTTGACTGTATCGTATTGTACTGTAACTGATAAGTTTACTAAAATACCCTCAATGTTTAAATATTAAATTTATAAAAAATTATGCATAAAAATATTTTTTAAAAACAAAACAGAAGAAGGCAAAATACCTTAAGAAAGCAGAACAAAGGAGCGAGACAGAAGAAGGCAAACAAAGGAGCACAACTAATTAGAATTGAGTTAAAAGCAAATTAGGAGAAAAAATAAAACAGAAGGCGTCAAAACACCTTTAACGTTGGCGGCAGAAGTTCTGAAAAAAACAAAGTAGGTCATAGGTTGGAGATTTGGAGTTAAAATAGCAAAAAAGGCTAAATGGTAAAATAAAATTGTGGAGTAATAAGTTAGAGCATAATTGGAAAGAAAAATAGGAAACAATCCCACCACACCAAATCGGTTGTTTCAAAAAATGAGACTTTTCATTGTTCCGTAATAATGGATTTAACAATACAATACAATCAATCTTAATGAAACAATCAAAACAAACATTATTTTTAGATAACAACACAATACGATACAACGGGGAATAACCATCCAAACAACCTGTAAATATAAATTAATATCTATTACAATTCAATTCACTAGTAATATTATCCGCTTTAGGCTTGCAAGATCTTAAAATGTGTCACTAGAGTTTAAGATATGTTTACTTATATATTATTGTCTTTCCCGTGTTTTGTCAATATAGGATTCGCCTAAGGTCGGTGTCACATACATGTTTGCCCAAACACCATTCAAGGTTGCGCGTGGAGTGACAGATACCATATGTAGCAACTCAGCCATTAGTGATATTGTCCGCTTTGGGACTAGGCCCCGCCGGCTTTAAAATACATCATTAGAGATTAAGATATATTTACTATATACCTAATATCTCTCCCGTATTTTGTGATATAGGATTCATCTAAGGTATCATAATTTAACACGCGTAAGTAGAAAGAATAGACATATAGTACGTACTTGTTTATAAATGACTTATTAGTTGTCATTCACAAATAAATTGAGTGACATATCTCACTATTTTACAGTCGAACAGATATTTAAAACCTAACATCTCTTACTATATATATATATATACATTTTTTTGTTTCTTCTTATAATATCTTTTCTTAATATCAGTAATTTGTATTTGACCTTACAATTACCAATTTTACAGATGATTACGGTGAAAAAATGAATTATTAAAATAATTTGAGACGAATACCTAAGTTGAAAATTCAATCTTTAAGAAGAATAAATCCACCTTATACGTCAATCCAAACTTAAAAAAAGACCACCAAAGGATGTGGTGCAGTGTATGGGACTGCTCCTCCCTTAACTAGATGTCTCGAGTTCGACTCCTGGGTTTGGAAAAATCCTTGGTAGGGAGCGTTTTCCCCCGAATGGGGCTACCGAACACCGGGTGGAAAACCAAAAAAAAAAAAAAACTTAAAAAATGTACTTTCCGTAAACCAAAAGAAAAAACAAAGAAAGAAAACCCTGCACCGTAACATACTTCAGAGATCTAATGGTAGTCGACATACTAATTAGGGTTATCGAACATTCTAGAAAAACGAACCAACTGTCAGCTCCCACTATAAAAGCTTCCTCTTTACTCCTTCAATTATCTCTCTAAAACCCTAGTTCTCCAAAGTGTTGTCTCAGCTCTCCCCTAAACTAGCCGACACTAAACAAAAGGAGAGTAAAATCCATGGCCGGTAAAGGAGAAGGACCGGCGATCGGAATCGATCTCGGCACTACATACTCATGCGTCGGCGTGTGGCAACACGACCGTGTTGAAATCATTGCCAATGATCAAGGTAACAGAACGACGCCGTCCTATGTTGGTTTCACTGATTCTGAACGTCTCATTGGTGATGCTGCCAAAAATCAAGTCGCTATGAACCCTACCAACACTGTCTTTGGTAAGATCTCTTTTCTTTGCGGTTTCAATATCAGATTTTTCATAAGTAACATGCGATGTGCTTTATATTTCACTGATTTTTATTGTACTTGATAGATCCGAGGCTTTACTGTCTGTGTTATAATTTAGATCTGTTGATTTGAAGTGCTTTAGTTGTCAG